GTTGCTAATAGTAAAGGAGAATAGCGAACATATAAAGAAGAAGGCGGAAAGATAGCACATGGACAAATGAATGTAGATGGAAATCTTAGCTCTCTCATTTAAAATAAATAAAGGAAAACTAACAAAAAAGATGGAAGGTAAGGACTTGACAATCCATATAGTTTAAGCAATTTGTGGATAAAATAGTTTCAAACGCTTACTGTCAGGGCGAGTAGCTGGACTTTTGGTTTCTTACTGCGAAGACGCTTTTTTATTCCTTTCACAACATCTTTGGCTTGCCTGGTGAACCAAAATAAAACAAATAATAAGAACTACTTTAACCAATCTCCAGTCCAAACAAAGCAAACACCTCGATGATTATACCAAATATTTGATATTAGAAAGCAAAAGAAAAAGGGGAAATTGCATTGAGCACCGCAGCATGACACCACTGGAGTTTTTATTATGAAAATACTAGTAAGTCCAATAAACACTATCTCAATTTTCATTAAAATAGGTCAGTAAAGAGGCTAGAAGAACCTCATATCTTAATTTTATTAAATTTAAAAAAAAAAACAAAAAAAAACGTGTAATTAGAAGTTCAGGTCGTCCGAAAAAGAATGGACTTGCTGAAGAGACTTGATGGCAATTTATTTGTTAGGTTAGCAAATAATTAACGAAACGCTTCACCAATAAAAATCTGTCAATACTAGATTAATACCCTGTTTGCTTGGACCTGCACCATTTTTCCTTTAGGTCATCTCAACTAAAATAATTAACGCATGAAATGCCCTCAGGGATTGGCTCCTTCCACTGGAAATGTGAGACTGCATCTTCAAGATGATTATAGTCTCATATATGATAATCTACCTATCAAACAAATACAGGAAATCTAGTATTTATTTGTCTACTTTCACCACCAAAAAAAGAGAAGAGAAAACTATCTTCGTCTTCCCTAAAACCCTTTTAATCCCAGAAGAAAGACTCTCATGAGAGTGTTATAATATACTAGCCTCTAATAATAGCCTAGTGCGTAATTAAAAATAGTCAGATGTCACATAATAACCAGCAGCACCAAAAATCGTGAGGGCACTCCAATTAGGAAACATAAAAAGATGTAGCAATTAGCTACCAGATACTCTCAGCACAAACCAGTAAACCGCGATAAGAACAAAATTGTATCTGATAGGTAAGATACCATAGCGGCTGAAGGACCGAAGATAAAAAAAAGTAAAAATACAAAACAAAACAAAAAATAAAAGGAAAAACAACATAGATAGAAAAAGGAATAAGTGTAGTCCCTCTAGCGCCTATACGGACAATTTGGAGAAAAAGAAATAGGAAAACTTTTTTTTTTGTTGATCGTTAATACTAACACCACTTGTCACAACAAGCTCTGGCCCAATGGTGAAGCGCCTTACTCATTAGAGTGAGGTTGACGTTTTGATTCTCTGGCTCAAAATTTTACTCGTATTTTAAAGTTTTGCCCCCTTATCTCAAAGGAAAAGTTTGTTGTCATGCTTGAACCGCCGACCACTCACTGTTTAAGTACTAAACTAACCACCGGATAGAGAAAGTAACTCATTACCAGTGTTGATAATAAATAATTTAAAAAGTTTTGAATGGAATCATCCAAGTTAACTGAAAATTAGTAATAAAACTTGAATTGTGTCTTTTTTTATATTGTGTCAATTAGAGTGACTTGTTCATTTGTTTACTTTTTAAATGTCGACACTGCCTGCAAAAAATCCTGCATACACCGCTGCTGAAAAACATTTGAACCCTCTATTAAACTACGGATATAGCAAGATTAAACAAGTAACACTCAAGGAACATTACTGTTAAATCGGAATCAATAAGGTCTGCTGCAATTATAGATCATCTGTTTCCATCTTACTTTCTTCTTCAAAAATTCATCTAAACAAAAATTACTTTTAAAGCACCAGACAACCAACATGAATTGTGATCTCTTTAAAATCCTACATTCCAGCTTCCCACAAAAACAGAGGTTACAGTAACACATGGCAAAACAATGACCCTCAAATGTAGCACCATACAAAGATGCAAACCTAGTCTCTGAACTCGCTCTATACCGTCCAGCACAGTCCCATAATCACAGCAAGATACAACTAAAGTAAATCAATCAACTATGCCTCAATCCATAACTAGTTGGGTCAACTATATCTCCTCTGTATTACCTTTGGGAAAACTATGTCAATCCTCTATATCCATTCCGGTAAACTTGAAGCCACTTCATCCAATACTAGCAAATAATTCTCTAAAACCTTAAGTTTTTATATTTCACCCTCAATTCAAACTAGTCGGGATCGACTATATGAACCCTTTGTGTCCATTCCACTCTATTCAAGACCATTTCTTCAATACTGGCAACTAATTTGTCTTCTTGTACATGCCTTTATCGCCTCTTTTTAAATGACGGTGTTGTATAGACCAAATTGCATGTATCTCAATTATCCACCAACCTTCATCCTCCCATAGGTACTGAATAACTCTGTCCACCAAGATTTAGACAGATGTGAAGAAATCACTTGATCTTTCTAGCACTACTAGGATTCAAATCCCTATCTCCCATGGTCTTCATTTCAACTTCATCAACCATTAGGCTAAGCCTTTTTTTTTTTTAAATCTAACTAAGCCTTTTTTTTTTCATAATAGAGAAATCTCTTGTTTTGAGCTTCCAAACTCTTTCTAGGCCTTTTGTCTAAGATCAAGTGTTAGAATTTGTCTTTTATGACAAAATAAGGTTCCCTAAAACTAGAAGTTCTTTAAATCTCACACTTATAACTACACTGACATAGAAGTCTCTAACCAGAGATTATTACTATAGAAAACTTACAACTTTTTTCACGTGCATATATTCAGCAAAGCAGAAAACTGACTCATACTTTTTTTTAAAATTTAAGGTAAAAGAAAAAATATTTACATGCACCAGCAGAAAAAAAAAATTACTCCATCCGTTCCAATATATGTGACTCTGTTTGATTGGACATGTACCTTGTGGTCTAAACAAGTCCTAAATACTTGAGCGCCTAAAAATTATCTCATCAAAGGTAAAATAAGAAATTTAAAGTAAAATTATTTCTAATTATAGAAATGTATAAGTTTATGGAACAGACTAAAAAATGGAAAAGGTTTCACATAAATTAGAACAGACGGAGTACTATTTCCTACAACTAAAAACTACAACTATTACTACTGAAAATTACAACAATTTCAGTAGAAATGGAGTATTCCATAAAACAGAAAGCCGAATCATATTTTATGTAATAAAAAGAAAAAAATCCAAATTTTACATACCCGGGATCACGATTGCATATATCGCAGATCTCGACATTCATGGCCCAATCAGGCCCAATAAGCATATCGCTCGTCGCTCGTTCCACCAAAAAATTCACCATCCTATAATTATTTTATTTACCGCCAAAAAATAAAATAGAAAATTTCCGCCTCCGATCACTTGAAACAAAAATGTGACCGCCGGCGAATTCTCCAGCGTAAAAATATTTCACCGGCGAGATTCTAATAACGAATCAAATCATATGAGTTCTCTCTCTCTTGTGTTCTGTTATGATGATTAGTTTATTTTCCAATCAATAAAATTAGAATTAAAAAGAAAGTGGCACTAGCCAATGAGAAGAGAACACGTATAAGTCTAACTATGTCAAGATTTCAAGTTGGTAAACTTAAGCCCCTAAGGTTTGTAGAAGTTAAAGAAAATACCATGTACTTTTGATTTTTGACATTTGGACCTTTTAAACTTTAAATGAAATTCGTAAGGTAGTTAGTACTTAGTAGTTACTATTATCGATTTCTTTTTTCTTTTCCAATTGGATTCCTTATTTATTACTTCCTCCGGTCTACTTTAATTATTTTTTTAGCTTTTTTATGATCCATATTATTTGACTTTTTAAGAAATCAAGAAGTAATTAATTTCTTATTTTCAAAGTTGTCCTTCGAGTAAAGAGCTTAGAAGTATTTGTTGTATTATGAACAAATTAAGGTTAATATGATCAATTTTATTGTTAATTAATGCTAAAAAGTGAATTCCTTAATATGTGTAAAAATTATCAAAAAATTAATTAAAGTGGACCTGAGGGAGTATCATGTAATAATTTATAGCATATCCTAGCATTCAATAGACATGATATAAACATTTTCTTGAAGTTTGGTCTATTTAAGAGATAAATAAATGCTCCATCTAAGATATGAAATGAATTTATTGTTGAGAAGAATTTCGTAGAACTATGTTCGAGAAGCATCTTCATCTAATCTATAAGGTAGATTGTTTTTTTATAGAAGAATATGTTGAGCTTAGCTTCTAGATAGATTAATTTTTTACCTTCAATTCTTAGAAGAACTTTATGTAAGAATTGGTGTGCATATTGTGAATTTTTATTAGCCTAACTTCTTAATTAGATCATCTTGAGTAGATAGTACTATTTTGTAAACCTTTCTCAATTGTTTGATTTTCTCACATTCCTTGATTCTCCCTGTGGAAAATTTATTTTTATTGGCTTTGGCTCTATAGAAGGGGAGCCTTGGCGTAACAGGTAAAGTTATAGCCATGTGATCAGGAGATTACAGATTCGACTGTGAAAACAACTTCTTGAAAATATGCAAGGTACGGCTGTAACTGATAAAGTTGTTGCCATGTGACTAGGAGGTCACGGGTTAGAACCGTAGAAATAGCCTCTTGCAAAAATGCAAGGGATGGCTACGTAAAATAGGTAAAAATAGCACGGGCTAGCCAGTTTTCGGACTGGTAATTGAAAAATAGTCAGCGTTGTCATTGAAAATAGCCACTATTTTGCTGGAACACGGAAAGTTCCAACATAATATATAGGAGATCGGTGCACCTGTGTATGAACTTCCAGCATATTATGTTGGACCGGTATATTATGCTGGAAATTCATATATAAAAAATTCGAACTCCAGTATATTATGCTGGAATATTTTCTGGATTTTGAATAGGGTTTTCGTTCACATAGACAAGGGTGGAATGTGAGAAATACAGTTGAGGAAAGAACTTAAAGCTGAATATTCTTTGGCCATAGTACAACTATTATGAAGACAATAAGAAAGCAAGCTTATTTTAGCAAAGCTTATCTGAGAAACATTTCTATAGCAGCAGTTCCTAATCAAGAGTTGAGATTGTTGAATCTTGAATTTCCAACCACCATATTACAAGGGAAGATATGTAATCAATTTTAATAGGGAACGCGAACTCGCACTGATGCAGGCCCTGACTTCATATCCTCCAAAAGAAGATTTAACAAAGCTTGTGTCACAGGACCTTCTCCACCTACAGTAATGAGGAAATACAATCAAGTAAAACAGCTAAATATGAAACAAGATTTAGATGGGACTGGTGTTCAGAAAGAGCAACAATGAGTGAGCATATATTGGTATCTAATATCTGTCTAGTCTCAGTTTGTCAAACATTACTTTCTTTGGACCTCGAAATTAAAACATTTCTTCCTGCTCGAATTTTGAAATATCATATTTGGAGCAGCATATGGAATCATAGCCAATTGACTAAAGTTTACACTTTTAAGTCTGAAAAGGCATCTTAGGTATAACATTTACTAGGGACAATAATGGCACACTACACAGCAAGGCGAGATTACTATTTATATGCATGAACATGAAAGAATAGTATGAGATGCTTGTCCTTTGTGATCGTTGTCCAGATATTATTAAGAAGTCAAGTTCAAAATTCTGTTTTCGAGCTACCAACGTGACAAAGAGATAAGGGAATAATATGGGATGCTCATCATTTGTGATCGTTGTCCAAATATTATTTAGAAGTCAAGTTCAAAATTGTGCTTTCGAGCTTCCGACATGACAAGGAGAGCATCCATTTTTCATTACCAGTTGAAATACGCTTCTATGTGCTTGGATGAAAAAGTTTTAAGCAGATGTAAGGATATAAGAAAATTAAGTTACTGACTATAGAAAGACAATTGTAAAAGTGCATTGTTTCAATGGAAGCAAAGAAACTGAGAGAGGCGGCATAGAAAGGCTTACCATCACCTATGATTTCTTCATCCCACTGCACCACCGAGCGGACAAGAACTCCACTGCCAATTAGCATCATCTCATCTGCTCTTTTCCCATCCTCTACCGACACGTTATCTATTCTAATGCCCCGAAGCTTACCTTCTTTTACTAGCTTTGCTGCAAGAACCAGAACTCTTTTAGCCGTACAGCCACTGAGAATCTTGTCAAAACTAGGCATCAGAAGTTCCTTTTCCTTTGTAACAAAAGCCACATTCATATTAGGTCCTTCAGCGACAAATCCATCGCCATCCAACCAAATTGCTGCATATGCATCATTTTCTTCTGCTTCCATCTTGGAAAGTGCATTCGGCAGATAATTTACGCTTTTCATGACGGCAAACTGTGGGGGTTTTATTGGGATGGATGAAGTTACAACTCTGATGCCCCTGTGATCGGGAGGTGATTGATCTTGTATTACAATGGCGTAAAGAGCTGCTCGAGGACAGCCCGATGGAGATAGTTGGAAATCACCGGGTCCTGCCGAAAGCCAGTATCTTAGAGAACCTTTTCTGCACTTGGAAACACTTACTGTACGAATGAGAATTCTTCTAATGATTTCCCTATCAAAAGGAATTTGTATTTTGGCCATGGTTGCAGATCTCAGGAAACGATCGAGGTGTTCGTCCAACTCATAAAGGCATCTGAGGGTAGATAAAAAAATAAGGAGAATAAAACAAGCCCAAGAATCTCAACTATTTTTTAGCTTCTCATTCTTGTTGACTACCTAACCAAGAATAAGAAATTAAAGACATGTACAGATTTACCAGTCCACACTGTAGAGTTGCTCACATAATTTTCCTATAACTAGGCATTTGTCCAACATAGAACGTAAGAGGAGTATAACTAGTTCCACATTTCAGAGTTGTGCACATAATCTAATCCTATAAACAGGCATTTTCCTAACATAGAACTAGAAGAGGTAATTGCGTGCAAAGGGCGAGAAATTACGCAAGTTAGGCATACAACCAAGTTATGACCTATTTGCCAGAAAATCAGACCCCATATTATCTCAACTTATAAGTAGAAAACACACGCAACATAAAAGGGTTTAAAATAACTATTTACTATCGACAAATTAGACAGACCCAAACAGAATATTTCTACGGAAAACTACAAGATAGTAAATTGACAGTATTAAAGAAATTTCATCAAGCAGATGCACGAGCATGACCACTTGGATATGTGCTTAAAGTAACCAAGCAGCGGCAGAGCCACATGTATTCAAAGGGTGTCAATTTTCCGAAAATTATACTGTTTAGCAAGATAAAAAATTCTTTTTACGTATATATACTACTCCATATATTGACTCTCCCTGGCTTCTTCGTGAGTTTACTTCTTTATATTTTGACCCACCTTAGTGAAAGTTCTGGCTCCGACACTGTAACCACTAGCTTTCCGGTGTTGAAGGAAAGAGGCTTTAAACCTTCATCGACGCCAACACACAAGCGTTGCTACATCTCTAGGTATACTAATAGGCCTTCCCAAGAACTGATTTATGTTACATAAAGGAATGAAAATCTACATCATAAATCAACCTTGATGGAAGAAAGATGAAGAACCAAAATTAAGTGGCTTAACCTATAGAGTTAGAAATACTAACCCATCCATAATGGCAGCGGTATCAAAAACTCCATGTCCTCTATGAACCATGTGATCATCCATGGGGATCACCATGGCATCTGTATCAGTTGTGATTCCACCGAAAACGCTGGAGTACATTGCCAAATAAAGCTGCTTGGTTTCGTGACCTTCTCGACTTGTTCTCATTCTCTGAATAACCTTTACCGGGAAAACAAAAGTCAAAAGTCTCAAGTCTTTTTTTCTTTCTTAAATTACGTGCACAGACAAACACAATCAAATGAAATGGAACAGATGGAGTAGTAAATTCAGGAGGCAGGTAATATTCAAGTTCTATTTCTGCAGCTTTAAAAACAATTACTATGTCTTTAATTAAAACATTAAGAGGTTGTTTGGTTGGAAGCAAGTTATCCCGGGATTAATTATCCCGGGATTAGCTATTCCGAGATTGTTATCCCACCCTCTCATAGGGATAAAAATAACACTACAATCCCGGGATTAGTTGTACCGTGATTTTATCCCAACCAAACGTGGGATAAATAAACTCATCTCAAATTTAATCACAGAATTAGTTATCCATTATCCCTTATCCCTCGTACCAAACGAGCCCTAAGAACATAAAAAAGAAGACAGACCTCTGAGGAAGAAAGAAGTGGGACATCAAACGTTGGACTACATTGTCCTTCTGCAACACCAAACAGCCATGTTAGTATTAGCTCAAATTAAACTTCTAATAACAGCTAACCATCAATAAACCAAAAACTCGGAACACTAACAAGAGTTGCTTAAGCTAAATTATTGAACAACTTTAAGAAATAATTGGAACATATATAACCCCAATTACCAAAATAACATAACAACATCAACTACTACACCAGTCAAAACAAGTTCGGCTATATAAAATTTTTTTTTTTAATAACAGTAGTGTCTGGGCCAGCTTGCGCATACCTCGACTAATTCCACGGTATACCTGCTACCTCCCACCAGCAACAAGTAGTAGGTAACTCTATCCACCAAGGCTTGGATAGATGAGAAGAAATCACCTATTATTTTTTTCCTTCACTGGGATTTGAACCTAAAGCCTCATGTTTCTCACCCACTTCATTACGCACCAGGCCACACCCTTGGGTGCAATAAATACAAGTAAAGTTGGGCTATATGAATTCTCACGGAATTTGTTACTCCATTTAAACTCATTTCATGCCAATATAATATAAATACAATTAGTTCTGTATATGTTCTAAGTGTACAAATGTCCAGCTAAACCATTCTTAAAAAGCATAGGACCTACAATCAAAGTGCTAATGTCTAGAAAATATTCTTTGACAAATATCCTGCCCTGCCCCACCAAAATAAAAGAATTAAGCAAAAAATATTTCAAATTTACCAGAGGAAAACTGGGTTTGATTTGAATTCTTGATAATATTTGATCGGGTCAAAGGTCTGATCTTTGGTCTTGAAATTGAGATTTTCTTCAGAAAAATAACGGAATCCCTTAATTTTGGTAATAAAAAAGAGGCGTCGGATATTGGTTTTGGAATAGTTAATAAGGAAGCCATTGTAGATAGCTCTATGAGTTCTCAGTGAAACTGTGGCACAAAATAATCCAAAAATCACTACTTGAAATATGAAATGGTTTTGCCATTGTTAAACCAAACAGAAGAAAACAGAACCTTCGTTAAATATTGGACTGCAATTGTTTGTTTAATATGTCCCTCGGCTTTAGACTTGTTCGGTTATATGAATATATTAGTTTTATCCCTAAAGTATTTCTAACTTCAATATTAGTCCCTATACTAATGATTATTTTGCTCTAATGGTCCTTCCATTTCATTTTCTTTTTTCAAACCTATACTATATTAAAGGCACGAAGACACTTAGCGAAACGTCGTTCACCTTTTTTTATCCTTTAAAAATAGCTTTCACATTGGACAAAATTATAATTTAAATTATTTGCCTAATATTTAAGACCTTAAGATCAAATTAAAAAATCATTAAATTTTCCTTATTTGAACTAGGTAGAAATTCCTAATATTTAGGACTTTAAAATTCATTAAAATTTTACCTTATAAGAGCATTGCTTTAAAAAAATGACACTAGATTTCGGTCATATTCCCTCGTTGGAATCAAATTGTAAATGTTATCCCTTCAAACGGAGAAGTAAATGAGCCTGAGTCAAGATCTAACATTGTAATTTCTTCATTCGAAAATTAATATTTCTACATATCTTCGGTTTGTTCAGGAATTTTTCAGTTAGAAAGAACACATCAATTACACATTATAAGAATAAAATATCAAAAGTATACAAGTAGGTCGCCCTGCATGCCGATTCAACTTCTCTTATTTGCCGTCAATTTTAATAATTTATATCTATATTTATTTATACTCCATACTATATTAAAGGCACGATAATCATTAGTTAAATGTTATTTATTTTTTTATTCCTTAAAAATAGATTTCATATTAGACAAAATAGTCATTTTAATTTGTTTTATCATATTTAAAAATAATTTTTTAATAGAAAATAACCGTTCTAACTGTTACAAAATAAAAAATAAACAATTACTAAAAAGGAAGCAATATTCCAAAATTTAGAATAACGTCTAAATTAAAGCTCATTAATTTAAAAAGTAAATAATGTATGGAAAGCAAATTTTACTTGAATTTAAAGTCCCAAATATTAGGACTTCTTATAAAGTTCAAATAAGTAAAGATTTAATAATAATAATAATAATAATAATAATAATAATAATAATAATAAAGTTATATTATACTTTAAAATTTTAAATATTAGGTGAATAATTAAATAATTTTTTTGTTTAGTGTGAACTCTACTTTTAAAGGGTAAAAAAGATATTCAATTTGTTTGCCGGTTTCATTGACCAAAGAGTTGATAACAAGGATCGGTCTCGGTATATATACGCATAGAGTCTTCGAACTAACAAGGAATTTTGAAACAACACTCTGATTTTAAAAAAAATTATACTCATTAAGATGGGATACACGCGCAAAGCGCGTACCAAAAAACTAATTTAATTGAAAAAATCTCAATAGGCTAATCATCTTCGTCTAATTCCTTTTAGGCTTTTACCCTTTGATTGTAAAGCTAATAAACTAGCAAACTAAGATTTGTGATATGACAGAAAATAGATTACAGGAAGTAATTATATTTTGTTGTTTGATTAATTGAAATTTTTTGCTATAAAAACAAAAGGAAAAATTACTTTCATATATAGTTTATGGACTGAGTTTTAACCAACACTTGCGCCACTACCTTGTTTCCCTTTTGAATCATCCTTCTATCCACTATCTTCTCTTGTTATGGGCAATAGGGACTGGACAACTCGATGACATGAGGGTATGTTATAGTAGGAGGCAATTCATGACAGAGTTTTAGCTAAGATACATGGAAGGTTGAGTGCAACAAGAGCTGGGCAGGAAGAGACAACCTATATGTCACCGGTCCTATTTTCTGTAGCATCTGGTAAGGACCATAGTACCTTGCTGATAATTTAGTAAAATGCTTGCCCCACGTGGAAAGTTGCCTGTATGGTTGGATTTTCAAGTAAACCCAATATCCCTCCTTGAATTGCTTGTCAGACCTGTGTTTGTTAGCTTGTTCTTCCATCCTTTGCCAGGCTCTTTTGAGGTGGTATTTCAACAGTTGTGTCTTGAACTCCCTAGTCAATAGGCTTCTGCCTACTTCTTGTTCACTTCTTCTACTTGAGAATCTCCAGCCATGTATGGTAAGTGTATTAGGGGTGGTTGCCGATAGAGGGCCTCATATGGTGTACTCTGTATAGAGGTGTAGAAAGTAGTATTGTACCACCATTCTGCATATGCCAAAAATTAAGACCAATATGATTTTGAATCTGAACAAAAACACCTTAAGTAGGTCTCTAGGTACCTATTCATCACCTCTATTTGCCCATCTGTTTGAGAGGTGATAGGCAATAGAGGTATTGAGTGTTACTCCCATCATGGAGAATAACTCCTGCCAAACTTTATTAGTAAAGATTAGATCTCTGTCACTAATGATATCTTCAAGTATCCCATGTAACTTATAGATGTTTTCCATAAAGAGTTATGCAATATCATTGGCAGAATAAGGATGAGAGAGAGCAATGAAATGAGCATACTTCGTGAGGCGATCCACCACCACCCAAATCACTGTCTTTCCTTTAGATTTAGGAAATCCATCTATGAAGTCCATGCTAATACTACTCCATGTTGCTACTGGTATTTTGAGTGGTTGCAGCAATCTAGGATAAGGGGCATTATCATACTTGTGTCTCTAGCAAACATTACATGCCTTGAGCTGTTTCTGGACTTCTTCCTTCATGTTCTTCCAATAGAAGAGAACAACTACCTTCCTGTAGGTATTCTCTATCCCTGAGTGTCCTCCCTCCATTGAAATATGCCATAGTTGTAATATATCTTTCCTAAGTTGAAGGTCAGGTCCTACCACTAGTTTCCCTTTCTTCCTGAGTTGGCCATGGATAAAGGTGTACCCCGTATTATTAGTTCCTCCCTGTTGTATTGGCCGAATGACTGCCTTCACTTCTTCATCTAGCTCTGAATAATCATTTCTAGCAAATCAATTCTCATAGTGGATAGTGTTATTGCAGCAAGTTAGATCAATGGAATTCTAGACAAGGCATCTACTGCCTTGTTCTCCTTCCCCTTCTTATACTCAATTTCAAAGTCATACTGCATTAGTTTGGTGATCCATTTCAGCTGAGTTCCAGTGTGTAGCTTCTTCTCTAAGAGGAATTTTAGGGCTCTTTGGTTTGTTTTAACAATGATGGGTCTAACTGTCAAGTATTAAGACCATTTGTTGACTGCCATCACCAATGCCAACAGTTCTTTGTCATATACTGATAAGGACTAATGTTGTGTAGATAGTCCATTGCTGAGAAAAGCAATAGCTTGCCTCTTCTGCATTAAAAAAGCTCTAATGCCTACATTGCAGGTATCAGTTTCAACTACAAAAGCCAATGAGAAGTCAGGAAGGGCTAAGATAGGTGTTGTGGTGAGTGAAGTTTTGAGTTGACTGAAGGACCCTCTAGCCCTTTCAGCCGATATGAATCCATCTTTTTTAAACATATCAGTAAGAGGTTTACTGATCACCCCATAGCCTCTTATGAACCTCTTATAGTACCTGCAAACCCTAGAAAACCTCTTAATTGTGTCACAGATTGAGGCACATGCCAAGATTGCACAGCTTCAACCTTCTTAAGGTCAATAGATACCCCTTGAGATGAAATGTAATGGCCTAAGTACTCCACCCTCTTTGCAGCAAAAACACACCTACTTTTTTTTGCCAATAACTGGTGTTGGATTAGTAAGTCAAAGACTAAGATGAATTTCCTGAGATGTTCTTGGAAAATGTGATTCATCAAACTCTAAAAGCTGGAGGGTGCATTGGTCAATCCAAATGGCATGACCAGGAACTCATAGTTCCCATAATGAGTCTTGAGTGTGGTCTTATAAACATAAGCTGGTGCCATCTTGATCTGATGGTACCCTGCCCTTAAGTCTATCTTGGAGTAAATATGATATCTACTCAACTCATATAGGAGTTCTTCAATAATGGGGATGGGAAATTTATCCTTGATGGTGTTGAGGGCTCTGTAATCAACACACAGTCTCTAAGATCCATCCTCCTCGCTCACTAGCACCACTGGAGAGTCATACGAACTAGAACTATATTGTACGATGCCTTGGTTCATCATCTCCCTGCCCATTGTCTCAATGAAATCCTTTTGCACTGGTGAGTATCTATAAGGCCTTGAGTTGACTGGCAGACTGCCTTCCATCAAAGAAATATGGTGATCAAACACCCCTCTTGAGGGAGGTAACTGTGTAGGCTCACCAAATATACTCATCAAGAACCTGCCTTAGCTCCACGGGCTCTTCAAGCTTCTCAGGTTTTGTCACCTCCGTCTCCTTGCATTCTGCAACTCTTACCTTAATCATGAAGAACTGGATCCTTCAATGGTCATCTTATCCATTGATTTTGCTTGGACTGTCTTGAATTTAGGCTGGATCCCTTGCAATGTAAGCAGTTACCCATTATACTCAAATCAGCTTCCTGAAATTGAACTTGATATCTTCTAAGGGGTAGAGCCACTGAATTCCCAGCACTATGTCACTTTTACCAATTGAAAATACCAGAAAATCATCCTGAAATACAACTCATTGCATTAACCACTGGAATCCCTTACAATTACTGTCAGTTGGCACTTCCCTACCATCAACAACTTGTACCAATTGAGGTTTAGTTTTACTTAATTGGAACCCCCAATCTTTTTGCTGTTTCTTCATCTATGAAGTTGTGTGTAGAGCCACAATCAATGAATACTTCCAATGGTCTTTGATCTATGAATCCCCTCAACCTCAAGGTTTGATAACCTAAGGTTCCATTTAAAGCTTGTAAGGAAATGGCACAGCTTTCAGGGAGTTCCTTGGCTATCTCTTCTTCTTCCTCCAGTTGGGTTTCTTCTATCCCCTCCTCTGGTACCTCACCTGCTTCCAATTCTAGGGGAAACAATTATCTCTTATCCTGACACTTGTGGCCAGGCACAAACTTCTCATCATAAAAGAAACACGGTCCTTGAGACTTCTTCTCTTCCATTTCTGCCGGAGTCAGCCTTTTTCTTATTTTGTTATCAAATTT